ATAAAGTGGTTTTTTAATTGTTTTCGTAAATTTAAAGGCATATTGCCTATTTGAATATAGATGCCTCCTAATGAGTGATAGGCATTGCGATAGGTTCCAAAATTGTCATTATAAATGTCAATCATAAACTTGAATGTTTTTATATTATGCAAAGGCGGTGAATTCGGAATAATGTATTCAGAAGGATGATAATAATGAAACTTTACCGGTTGAATTCGTAATGGCATCTTGATATAAATTTCAGATACACAAAAATTATAAGACACAGGCTGGAAAATATCCTTAAGCCATATTGAAACATGTTTTAATATAAAATTGAGAGGAATAATCTGATAATCCTTTTTTATCATTCAGAGCTTTTTGTGCCCTCACTGGCTTCTATCCTGACTGCAATAAATTCCCAACTTATCATGCTTTAAAAGCCTTGACATTTTTAAAGTGTCTTGCATTTGATCATTTGAATATTTAGAGTTAGATGGTGGCAAAAATAAGATAATGGCTTCAATCCTTCCGAATCACCTTTCATATTGATTCTTGCTATTTGTGTAGATAAATTCTACAAATTGTCCAACAGTATATTCAACTAAAAAAGTTAGAAGTCAAAAAAAAAAAGTTACTATTATTAAAAATTGGGATCTACATTTGAAACTCATTTATATTTTTTTATAACTCTATCTCTAAATACTAGTCTAACTGTAAAAAAAAAAACATGGTCTAAGAATTTTAAATTATCATAGTAGATATATCAAAATTAACTTATTATTATTTATAATGACAGTTGTATCTCCATATAAAGGAGATCATTGCTAGATATTACATGCCATAATTCAGATTTTTCTTGGCTTTCAATACCACGGCCAAAATACATCTTCGCTATTAATCGTGGGTTATTCAACACGTGTTTAAGATGTTCTTTTATTAAAATTGTATAGGCAGCTTTGACTTGTTTTAATATAGAAGGTGTTTTTCAATCATCAATGGGAATAAGATGGCTTTTTATATTTAATAAAGGCATTCTTATTCGCTGAGATCTAAGACGCCTTACGTTTTTGGGTGCATGGTGAGATTGAAATTGTAGATGTTTTATAATCACAATCAAATCTTCATATGCCTTTGTAGTTTAAATATATAGAAATAAAATCAAGAAATTGAAAAAAAAGATAAAAAATATTTCAAATTAATCTCCTAGAATTTATGTTATATGAAATCAAAACGCCTTATAACAAACTACTTACATATCATATGTTTAGTAACCCACAGAAAAAGCATTTGTTTAGTAAAATTAGAGAAGTATGGACCATATTCGCCATAAAATAGTTCAAAGGAAGCAGGTTCATCTGCTATTTTTTTAGTAAATAGACCATTATTATTAATTGAAAAGTTATGATCACAATTTTCAAGATCATCTCAAAGTCATTGTTGCTTTCCTCAAGCTTAATGTTGTTAATTAACATATCTTCAAGATCATCGCTACTATTGTTACTAGAAATGTCTTCAAAATTGCCATCTATGTTATCATCTTTGAGGCTTTTCTCAAGCTTAGTATTATTAATTAATATATCTCCAAGGTCATTACTACTATTGTTATTAGAAATGTTTTCAAAATTGCTGTCTATATTATCATCTTCAAGACTATTATTATTAATTAACAAATCTTTAAAATTGTCACCTTTATTATTATTGTTAACTAGAAGATTATTTGCAAGCTTAGCTTGTTTGTGAGTATTTAGACAAGAATGTCTTACTCTGTCTGGATGAATTATAATTTTTTGCTTCAAAGTGCGAATATGAGTCATCTCAAAACTACAACTAGTTAAGTAATATTCTTAATATTCAAATAATTGAACTTTAAAATATAAATTTTATTGTAGTCACTTGTGCAAAGAGATTATTTTATTTATTTGTATGTCGATCAATTGTATAGATTTAACTTTACTAATAAGGTAATAGTTAATTTGTAACCTGCAAATACAAGAAATATTCTTGATAATCATTATATAATTATAATCGTATTTTGGAAAATTTCTCTATTTGCATTAAATATGATGAATCTGATTTAATTTATTTAATAACTGGTAAAAGATACGTACTCATATACTGTATATGTATATAAGTTAATATATACATAGATTTATTCTTTTAAGATAATAAAATTTATACTAAGTAAATATGAGGGTTTCGCATAAAAATGAGCAAAATTTTTTGGCTATATTGATAAAGGATTCTCAGTTCTCTATAGCCAATTCCATTTATGGACTTTGGTTTAATAAACTAATTACCTTATATTTATTAAATGTGAATGCTTATGGTTACGTTAAAATATTTAACTTAGAATATAGTTACTCACGTGTTAGATATATTAACTACAAACCTGACCAGAGATTTGAATTATTAGTTAATCTAACATTTAATAGTTTCTTTTCTAATTATGAAGCATAACTTTGATGATTTATATTATATATTTATTGATAACACATATTGCATTATTAATTATTAAGTATTGCTTATTTACTATTTTAGCTTCTATAATTGTAATAAATGAATTTAGAAAACCATGTTACAAAATATACAAATAGTAAAGATAGTGAAAAAGAGTAATATTGCAATACTTATATCTGATTCTTATTCTCTTTCCCTTACTATCCAATTTTTTCTTTAGAAGTGCCTTAAAACTAATATCATTAAAATTCAATGTGCCTCCAGCATCATATAAATCACAATTCAAAGTAAGTCAGTCTAAGTTTATGATTTTAATAAGCTTTTGTTCTTTGTCCAACATTTCTTCAACTATTTTCAGAAAACATTCTGACATAAATGTTTGCTATATTTCTTTAAATTCAGCCATAAGTGTTGCTTCTTCGTCAATTGCTTCATAGAAGCGATTAAGAAATGAATGCTATATCTCTTCCTGAATATAATCTTGAATATTGGATTTTTTAATTTGAGAAGAACTTTTGATTCTATAGATTAAAATTTAATTAATTATAATAGTTTTATAGTAAACTAAATGCATTTTTTTACTTAAAATCATTAATAAAATAGTGAGCAATTTTTCTGAGGCCACTTCGAAGTGCTTCTCTATAGAATTGATATGCCGCATTGGCAGCATCTTTTAAAACAGATAAGTCTTTATAAGAAAATTTTTTGGATGGAAAGCATAATTTGATACATTTAAGAATTATTGGTGTTGTAAGATGTCGCATTCTAAAAAACATGCATTTTAAAAAGGTCTGGTATTTCACTGATTTCTAAAGATAAAAATGTTATGTAAGAAAAAAAAATTTTTTTAATAATGATCATACAATAAGAGATAGAATGTCTTACTAGTTGAGTAAGAACTGTGGTTTTTTCTTTATTGTCTGACACTTTAAGGCCATCATACTGAGCCATTTGTACTGCAATTTTTAAAAGTTCTGGTCTTTCAGCAACATATGCCGCAGCTTCATAATCTGATTTAAATAAGAGTGTCTTGCGGTTATTGGGCTATGATCGACTTCATGAACTAGAATGCTGTAAAGAAGAGTAGCATGAATAAGAATGTCATAGAGGGGAGTGTTGTAAGTAGGAGTGCTATTGTGAATGAGAACGTTGTAAAGGAGAATGTCGTGAATATGAATATTGTCATGAACGAGAATGTCATAAAGAAGAATGTCATGAACGAGAATGAGAACATCTTGACAGAGAATATCTTGATTGAGAGAGATTGAGAATGAGATCGAGATTGAGAATGAAATCGAGATTGAGAATGACTATGTTGCATTTGAGATACTTTATTAAAATTGTTAATATTATTATAATTAGAGCTTTCAACAAGATCATGGCTTTTGCCAATCTTATTCTGATCATTATTGATTTTCTTATTTTCGATTAAAGTTGTGTTTTTTTATCTAAGGATGTAAGTGCTTTTTTGCCTTCTTTTTTGCCTACAGATACGGTCTCTTTCTTAGAGATAGTTGAACTTTGTTTTAAACTAGCTTTTTTAGGAGGCATTAAAAATAATTTTCGCAAATGTTATATTAGTTATAAAGGAATAAAATACACTAACAATACAGCTATTTATAAGCAAATTAGCACTTTTTCAAATTTCATGCTGCATAATCTTAATTCTAAGTTTGATAATGGTAAGCAATATAAATAAAACTTATATTCTCACTATAATTTTATATGCAAACCAGAACACAGCCATTTTTTTATATGTATTATAAAATAGTATAGATATAAGATACTTAAGTTCTACGTGGAAGGGCCAATAAATGACAGTCAGACTCAACGCACAGAGCAGACCTTGGCATCTTGCACAGCCGTGAGAACCAGGCATACGGCGAGCGATTTGTAAAAGACCTACTATTCTTCTCAATTATCAATTCATCACACCCTATTGAGAAGATA